TGTGGTACTTGTATGTTACTTACTACCACAAATAATGTTGAGGTATGCCCAGAAAAAACGTTTATAGCCCCGGCCTGTATTAGAGACCGGCCATTATTTACCTCCTCTGACAGCGAGACCGGCCAATGTTAGAGTCCCGGCCGCTATTGGAATACAGGCCAATATTAGAGAATTTACGGTATTTAGTTGATCAAGATACACGTCACAGTAAGAAATACCCCAATGCTAGGGATAATCTACAATTAGCTAACAATCCGAAAGTAATACACATTTCATTTTTTATGGTTGTTTATGAAGCCCGTCTGCAGCCAGTAAAAAAACTGACAGTTTTACGGGTTAAAAGTTGAGAATTATATGCGTTTATTATCCTCAGAATAAATGTTGACAAAAAAGTTGACTTTACACTTATTCATATCATGATTTGTAGTGGCAGAGGGCTGAGCGGCAACAGGACATTGGAAGGCACATGTTGAAATGAAATGTTTTACTGATCATGGATAAACTTGCTGCACATGAGTACATCAAGTAAACAGCAATGCAATGTAAACTGAAGACAAGACAATGCCGAACTGAAAAAAAAAAAGAAGCACAACCAGGCAGGCTTTTAGCTAGGTATATTTCATGAGACATAAAATGAGTTTGATGACAGATTTAAGGTTAAGATTTAAATAAATTATTTCTCATACACACCTTAGTATATAACATTTTAAGGCATTGCACGGTGTAGGGGTGTATATTTTGAAATTTGGACTCTATGAAATGCTATTTCAGCATTTTTTGGTGGAAGCCAGCTAACTTTTTGTCTTTGTTACAACACTACTTTTGTCCTGATTATGGGAAGCATGTGTGCTTGACTAGAGGTAGAAGGTTCATAATGAAGACATTAGTTCTTTTTAGGTACAATATTATGATTGTTATGTTAATTCAAACAACCAGAAAGTAAAGATGCTTCTGAAGTGCGTCTAGTAAATTTTGTCATGATAGGTCTGATGCTCCTGTGTTCAGAGTGATTTTGATACATTTGCAGTACATTTTTATGCAAAAAAAGTCCAACTCAAAACATCGCCTGTGCAGTCAGTTCATCAAGATTCAGATCCTGCCTTAAAATATTTCTTTGCTGTCGGAGGTGAGCAGACCCCCATATATCGGTGGTGCGCTGTCAATGGGAATCCCCAGCAGCAGCTGCCTCAGGCCCAGTCGCCTCTTACGGGTTTTTTCCCATACTGTTCGTGGTGGCCAGAAGTAGATGTTACTGTCTTTTAGGTATATGGTATGAACTACAAGCACCAGAATAATAAAAGCGAACATATGTTGCCGGCAGGCTTTGACATTTTACATTAATTTAAGCATTAACAAATAGTTCAGTGGAGTGATCATAGAGCTCTGCATCAACAGCGCTGTCTGTCTCCCTGCCAGGTCCCAGATCAGCTTCTCTGATTGGTCAATGTGGCACATTGAGCAACAAAAATCAATTTTTCCAACTCCAGCATCTGCTGCTTTTGAAATTTTGAACACATGACCGAAGTTTCCGGGGAGGAAATTAGGGCGTACCAAAGTCGTACATCCCAAAAAATGGGTTGTACAATTTGTCATTTTTTTTGTATAGGATGTACATGTTTGCCCGTACACATTGCTAGCCTAAAGCCCGACACCAGGGAGTGACAGAATATAGGTGAGTGAAATACTGCCAAGTGCTTGGCTAACTTGCTTTAAAACAAATGGAAAAAACGCTAATTCATATTTCCTTTTTTTCAAAATTTTAAAAGTTCAATCAAAACTCGCATTTCACTTGGGATGGAAACACGGTTTGAGTGCTACGCAACAACTCTGGTTACAATGTAGTTTACCACGATTAGAGTCCCCAGACTGTACAATCTTCTATAAGTACAGGCTAGTTAGCAGGCCATGTAAACAGATGACCAAGCAAACAGGGAATAACATATTAACAGAAAATTGTTGAGTGCAATTAAATGAAACACTGACAGGTGTGGATTCTGATCATTTAAGTTGAATATTATGCTAACACTGTAATGGTAGTCATATGCAATGGTTTCATCTTTGTCATAAACCACGTTAACTAGAGGCATTTCCAGCTAGTTATTGGTCCATACATCTAATATGTATTTTAAATGCTCATTCTTCCTTCAACAAATATGTCCTCATCTGAATATTTTTTGCAAAGAAATTAGGACATTTTTGCATTTATCATGTGTCACATTTATTCCATGCTCTTTTAATTCTCAGTTCATAAATTGGAGTACAAGCACACCAAGAACTGATCAGTGCCAAATTGCTTGTGAAAAAAAAAAAACACTAATCAGTGGGCATGCTGAGGGCGATCAACCAGGATTCCCTGCCCAACTGATAAATGTGCAAAATTCCCTCTTGACCATCCCATTTAAACTGTCCCAGGTTTGTAAGAAGAGAGTGAACAATTTTTGTGCATCTCAAAGACAACCACAATATGCAACAGATATAAAAATAGATGGCATGCATGTTCACCATGTGAGGAAGATGCAGGCAGTAAAGAGAAAGGAACTTCTCTATTTGTATTAAATATAGGAACTATTATTTATAAGATGAGTTAGGGGCACCAGAAGGTTGGAATAGCCTGTGGCATTGGATAAATGAAGCCTACTGTAGGCAGAAGTTCAACTGAAGAAACTAAATTACCTGTCCTAATCATCAGTGGCTCACCTGCCTCTGACGCAAACTAGCTTTGAACTGCACCTCCACGAAGCCCCATCAGTTTCCAGAGTTCATCCTAAAAGGTCTTCAAACCCATGACCTAGCTTGCTACCCAGCCAAAGTGCAAGCAGTAGTTGTGCTATGTCTGATTTTGACTTCGATTCAACCCAACTACATCATTTTCAATGGTGCTTCTTTAACCTTGTCCCTATCAGAGTGTAATTCCTCCCACACACTTACAGTACTGCATTCCCAATCACATCTCAACCAGTCTGGCAGGAGACCACCATGTTGAGGGAAGTTTTTCCTCTCCCCTCTCACTTCATGCTTGCTCAACATGAACATGTTCATGGATACATGAGTTTCACCAAGCTTGAAATCTATCTTCCGGGTCCCGATTGAAGCACTAGTATCAGTTAACGCAGTCTACTGATCAGCAGTCTATGGAATGAACCAACTACATCTATCTCCACTCCTCCGCCAATTTCAGGCCTCAGGGGTAACATCCCTGTTCTCATACACCTGCTTATAAATATTAAAGTGAAATTCAGCACTAATGTTTGCTGCCGAAGTCTGAGCGCCAAAGTCTTAGAATAATTGTACCAATAAAATTCTTCTATTTGTCTTTTTCTTTCAGTGTGAATTTTTCAGATTGAATTCCAGTTGTCACATCAAATGAACATGCTCGGTTGGAGCCTCCCCCTAAGCCACAGTGAACAAGACTAATTTAACACGATCTGATTTTATTGGGGGAAATTTTTTTTTCCTTTTTTGAGGTGGGAATGTAAATTTGTTTTCATCATTCTGTCCTGACTCTTTACATGAATTAATTAAAAAATAAGTTCAACACATGTTTTGTTTAGTTAGATGGTTAGCATATGCTAAGCTCTGTTTTTCTAGCTATCACATGGTGTTCTGTCACATCTGACAGCTAGGGGAAAGTTGCAACATTCAGTAGTCAGGCTGAAGTTGACAGACCAGTTTTCTGGATATTAAGCATGAGCCATACTACCGTCTCTCCTTCACATGTTGATGTACACTGCCAAACTGCAACCCGATAGATTGTAAATCTGCTTCCACTAGTCAGAAAAAAGACCAACTCTGGTGTCTGAAAATGTCAGTCTCAAAAGTGTGATTTTATTTTTACAGCCGCAATTCACAAACTATTGGCAGCATTTGGGTTAAGCAACCAACTGAAAGACAATATAATTTTCCAAGTAATTACACACAATGTAACGCTATATGAAGCAGATGGGAAAATGGCAAACAATTCTGCAAAGAAATATATTTTCAGCGGGAGCCTATTTGTTCAATTTAATTAAGAGTGGACATTCTTAATCAGGTGCAAATTGTAAGGCGGGCCAGCTAAATTTTTCATTGCAGCTATGATGGATATGCAAGACAGCATTCTTGGATTTTGAAGCAATGGCTACTGAGAAACATCTAACTACCATATGACGAAAATATTGACATTTAACCTTTGTGCATCCTAAAACATGAAAATCTCAATCTCATGCAAACTGAATTCTTATTTACAGAACATTCCTTATGCATTATAATCAATATGCATTAACAATTCTAAGTAATTTCAAACCACAGTCAATTATTTTTATTATTCTATTTATTCACCTCACTGAATTCCAGAGAAGACAGACATGTAATGGTCCAAACAGTAACAGGGGACTTGTGACTCATATCAGGTCATGAATGACAGTCAGCAACATTATATCTGCACAGTCAGAGCACTGAGTCAAGTGACTGTCTGGTAATTTATAAGGCTGAACTCCCTGCCCTAGAAGTGAACATATCCTAAAAAAAGAGGTCAGGTTAGGAAATGTGTCGTCTGGAGCAGGAGCCCAGTGTGTATCAAGACACAGAAAGCAAAGTTCAAATATTGGATGCAAAGCAGACAAAGATCTGGAAAGTTTTTTTCTCGTCTTTTTTTAACAGTGGATCAAACAAACAAGTTTCCTGTAGTTGCTCTCCTCTGTCTCAATAACTTTTCAAAGCAGTGTTTCATCTTCACAGCCTGAAGCCACAGCTCCTCTACTTTAAAGTACCATGTGACATCAAATGAGTTTGATGACAGATTTAAGGCGTGCAAAAATAAATTATTCCTCTATGGTTTTATAGGAAATAATGAATAATTTCATTCTTTCATTTAAATTTAATGCCAACGTAGGTGCATGTCAGTGCATTTTTTTTTTTTTACATAATTAGCTGCAAACTTAAAAATCATTTATGAATAGTTTATTTTAAAAAAATAATCCACATAATATGAGTTTGTTTTCCAATATGAGAAGGAAGCCTACCTGATATTTCAAACTGGGGTACAACATTCTGTTTGAATCCCTTTGCGCCGTAAAACTGCTGAATGTCCGAACAGGTCCGGGCTTTGCTGGAGCCTTTGTCCCCAAAGGTTGGCACTGTGAGAGAGCAAAGCACCAGAACCGCTACGATGAACAAATCCATTGCTGCTCACTAGCGTGGCTTTGAGAAAATCCAAGCGGACAACCAAACGACTTTGTTTAAAACAACCAATATAAGGAAAACAGGGCTGTGCGTAAAATATCCTCCCCCCCGGTCCTGATCCCCTTTGCTCTTTAAGCGCGTCTGCAGCTTCTGTTCTCTGCGCGCTACTGCGCGGCACAGAAGCGATTCCTCTCAGCTCAGATGTCCCGTCTCCTTTCAATCCACTTATGCCAGCGCAACAAGGGCAGACGCTTGACAATTTCCCCCCAAATGTCTTTCTTTGAAAGACTGTTCTGTAAAAATGTTCGGTCTCATTCAGTCGTGAGTTTTTGACAGACCTAAGGAGAGAGAGAAGCAGGAGATGGTTAACAGCAGAAATACTCTATTTTAAGTCACGTCAAAAAATAGCGGCGCTCTGGTGCAGCCCTTATTGTATTGACTCACGCTTGTCTGATTTGAACGTGCAGAAGTACAGAGGTGCTCGCCGGAGGATACAGCAGATCAGGCGTTTGTGGACGATGATGTGCTGTGGCTCAGGGGCTGCCAGTCTGTGGGAAAGGATGGAGGCGGGGAGAAGCTGGCAGAAAAAAAAAAAGGAAGAGGATGAAAGAGCTGGGGCTTTAAAGCAGCTCCAGTTATTTTTCACCTCACTCTGACACATTTCTACTTATTTGAGTCTGATTGTTTTTCCATGAACACTGAATCAATTTACCAGAAGTTTACAGTTTTTAAAAGTAATGTAGATCTCTACCAAGAGATAGTTGTTGTTTTGTGGATGACCTACCTAGCTGGCAAAAAAAGAATGTCCAAAGTAGAAGGAATGTGCATGCTGGTCCCAGCTCATCATCAGCCAGGTGTCACATATGAACAGTAGGCCCCTTCCCTCCCACCAAAAGTACTGGATACCTTTCTCAAAGAGTGCCTGTGAAGCACAATCCATCACTCTACAAGGCGCAATTAATGGGCCAACAAGAAAGCATCTGTCTTGAGCTGCTTACAGGTTGCCTGGCATCAAATGAATGCCTTCATTATCCTCAGTCAGCCATCCAGTCTTCAATCAATCAATCAATCAATCAATCAATCAATCAATCAATCTATCTATCTATCTATCTATCTATCTGTCTGTCTGTCTGTCTGTCTGTCTGTCTGTCTGTCTGTCTGTCTGTCTGTCTGTCTGTCTGTCTGTCTGTCTGTCTATCTATCTATCTATCTATCTATCTATCTATCTATCTATCTATCTATCTATCTATCTATCTATCTATCTATCTATCTATGCCTTGCAACCAAGGCACCATTCATGTAAGAGCCACTTATCAAGCTTTGATCAAAGGTGTCCAAGATGTGAACACGTTTGATGGATAGGAGAAGGGAACAAGAATGTCCCTCATCACCTGCCAATTTCAACAATAACACTTCAGCTCATCGCAGTACCACGTGATGAAGCTTTTAGTAAAGGTGCTTTAAAGTAATATGGTCCTGGATTTGTATTCCAGCTAAGATGCATAGTCTGATATAATGTAATGTCATTCTTGTGAGATTGCATTCCACTGAGACATATTGGAAGAATCCTGTTTCTCTGTTTTGAACCTTGCAACCTGCTCTCTTTTCCCCCTGCCTCTCAGCAACTGTATTATTCATTCCTTTTAATAAAAATATGACATATCTAGTAGTGTAGTTTGTGAGTTATTTTCTCAACCCAGTGTTTGCTATATTTAAAGTTCTATATTTTCTTCACTTTGTGGTATGAAGCCTAACTCTGCATGCTAGATTAAACCCATGACACACTTTGAATTTTAAAATATTTCATATTTTGACCCAGCAGATGTTTTGACCAAAGGGGTCAAAAAATAGTTTAAGTGTGAATTAATCATACAAAGATGAATTTCATGCATTGCCATAAGGGCACTTTTAACAGGAGATTTAACTTCTAGTAATATTTGTGTAGTGTTTATTATTTCTTCCTAGGCATATATGCAGTACTGTAAATCCTGATAGTTAATTCATATTATAACAATAGCGCATAAAAATAAATGGCAGTATTTTTATGCAATGGCAAATGGCAGATTGTTATGACAGAAAATAAAAAAAATGTGGAGGAAAAGAGAAGAAAGAAAGGCATGAAGAGGAGAACCTTGTGACAAACCAAGCCACTTCCATTCCTAAATTGTTCTCGTTCCAGAGGCAGTTTTTTTTTTTGAATAGATAAAAAAAATGCTACACTATAATTAGCCTTTTCCTCAGCACTGGCTCAGTCCAAACAATTAGAGGAGCATCTCACAAATCAGTCGATGACAAATGACCACTGTTGCATCCTATTATTACAGCTTTGAAATTAATGGCAGTGAATTACTCATTCATTCGGGAGTGTCAAGTGTCTTCCTCATTTGTTGCCTCTGTCTGTCTTTCAGTGTGTAAATTCATGTTTGCGTGTGTGTTTGTGTTTGCATGTGTGTGGGAGGGAAACTGACAATGACATAACAGCTGCTTTCTAATATTGAAAATGTAACTGGGACACAATAAGGAAAAATACTATTTAGTTCCAGTGCATTTTTCCTTACTCTTCTTGCCTCTATTAGAGAAAATGTGCCAAAGGGTTAACAAAATATATGGACATAAACCATGTGTCTAAACACGTGAGAAAATACTAAAGATGGATTTGTGTGTGCTTGACCTTCATATGCGCCTGTGTGTCTTCGACAGTGGCATTTGGTTTGTGAAACCTGAGTTTATGTGTCTGACTGTGTTCCATATGTGGTCATAGGTCGACCATACTGTTGGAGGACTGATTGGCCCTCTACTGTCTGGTATGGTGATTATGTAATTAATGCCCAATAAAGCCACAGAACAGCCATGTTTTCTTCCGACTGCCTCTCATTGAAGTTTTATTGCCTGTGACCATGAAAGGCTTCCTAATGAGGAGCAGGATGCAGAGGGAAGTCAAGCAGACCAGCAGAATGGTAGCAAAGACAGTGGAGACTGCTGGGTGAGAGGCCATAAATAAGCAGCAGTCAGTTTATTGTACATGTGCAATAATTATGTGGTGAACATTTTCAGGGCATGGTGAGATTTCTTTCAGCTAAAATTACATGTGTGCAGAATAAGTATGGTCTACTAACTCTATATGGGTAACAATGGGTTTTGGGAAGAAATAAGTAGCTAAATTGAAACTATTTTTAAAATAATAATTGATATTAGTGCTTCTTCTCTAGAAATTAAATGTGAAAAAAATGTCTTTATAAGAAACAATAAATGCCGAAAAAGAAAATCAGAATTAATATCACACAGTAAGATGCTAAAAAGAAATAAAAGCTAAGTGGAGAAGTTCAAGTATCTCGGTATCCTGTTCATGAGAGGGGAATGGAGCAGTTTCAGATCCCCCGTGGATGCCTCCCAGGCACGGAAGGGGATGGCCCAGGACAAGCTCGAAAAACTGTCTCTTGGCTGGCCAGGAATGCCTTAGGCTTAGATGAGCTGGAGAAGGTGTCTGGGGAGAAGGAAGCCCCTGCAATCAAGTCCCAAGAGAAAGACGAGTGGCAAAAAAAAAAAGAAACTGGTTGGCAAACAGAAAACCTACAGCAATGGAGAAACAACAAGAGTAATAATAATAAAAATACAATACTAATCAAAGGTAAATCAACAATCGGATTATTTTGCATCCTTGTATTTGTGTTGTGTAAATGTTCATGTGTCTGTGCACAGAATTTAAAAGGTGAGAGGTGTTTGTGGTTAAACTAAAAAAAGCCACAAAAGAGGTATGACTTTCCCACATAGCATCGACAGGATCAGGTGCTAATCTGTATTCACATCTGAAGAAAAGCTACACCTTTGGCTACTTATAGTTTAGATTAACTCTGTCTGCAAAGAACAAGAAACCATCTTGTACCGCTCCGCCTTAAATGGTTCCAGTCCGACCCAAAATGTGTCAGCCAATCACACTACAGTTCTATAGTTTAAGGCGGGACAAAAGGCAAAAACTGCCAGGCCCACAGTCGAACAAAGGCACAGGAGGACATAAGCTTAACCACTGCTATCATATCTGTTTGGTCAGATCTATAATTTCATTTTTAGAGAAACAATTAATTTCTAAAAAAAAAAAAAAGCTGTTTGGAATTTCCAGGACTTCTAAATAATAAATGGAAGATAATTTGCCTCTTTTTTGATGACTCCTATAACAAGGTGACCAGATTTCTGAAATCAAATTCCAACTTATAGAAAAAAAGGAAATACATATTGTCAAGATGAAATTAGGAAACTGGGACAGTAATGGTTTCATTTACTTTTATTAATATTTTAGCGACAAAAAACAAGGAATGCCTTTCAACACTGTTAGTATTTCCTAAGATGAATAAAATGAATAAATTGATAGTGTTAATAATAGAAAACTAGAACTGTGTCTCTGGGTTGGGGGAAATATGTTGTGGGGCCTAAAGAGCTCTGCTTCCCCTAAGGGGGAAGTGACATGAGGCAAAAAAACAACACATAAATGCATTTATAAATATTTCTCCAACATTTAGCATATGCCTTTGGTTGTCCTCCATCTCTTCAGTTATAACAAATACTCCTTCTGTTCACATTTACAAACCTATGAGAATTATGTTTTTCCTAACTTAACATGAATCAGAAACAAGTACTGGCCAAGCCTGAAGGTCAATGATGATGTTTATTACTGTCAAATGACGACTGACTGCATCAGGGGCCTGTGCATCTCAATGGTGCAGATTCATTTTTCCATGCAATGCTCCACTACTCCTTGAACTTCAGCAGCTCCTTTGTTTCCTGTTTTTTTCACACAAAAAAATCAAGATGGATCTGGCTGGTTACTGAGGTTCTTTTCTTTCTGGCACTCTTCTGACTTCTGTCTGCCCTCTGCTTTACTTTCTAACTAAAAATCTATCCCTTCTCTTTAACTGCTCTTTCATTCAGCATTCCTATTTTCCTCTGCTCTCATTCAATCTTCTTTCTACAAATGTTCTTATCGTCTTCCGTTCTCCTGTTCCATTAATCTTACACCATTTAAAACAGAGAGAATGTACAACATGAGTATTTACGAAAACTTACTGAATATGACCACACATATTATTCTAATATTTGTTATTATTATTAATATCTCACCTGTTTTAATACTGGAATTGCTAATTATCAGAATATTTGGAGTTACAGGCAAAAGCAGCATCATAAATGAACATTATCGCTTCATTATTCTCAGATCATGCAGATCTTGTCTCATTCAGTTCTCCTCTTACTGACACCTATTTTTTTTTCATGAGGAACTTTGATTTATACAAACTGAGTGTTAGAAAAACACACCTGAGCCTGGAAGTCTATGCTCATATATCAGCAAAACAACTAACAACTATATTTACAATAACTAACTATCTGAAAATATAAACTAAAGGTCACCAAGCAGTTCTAAAAACATCTTTAGCCAAACCATTGTTGTCCCCTGGAGAACTACCGTACCAGATCAGTGACTACAAGCAGTTTTCAATCATTCTGTTATATCATATATGATTCTCTTTTAACTGTGCCAGTTGCAACCTGCGGTTTTGTCTTAGTTGTTGTTGCTTGGTTTAGTAA